ATCATCATCATCATCATCATCATCATCATCATCATCATCATCATCATCATCATCATCATCATCATCATCATCATCGTAGACATTATTGTGTACAGCAGATAGTAAAACGGTTAAGACCTGGTAGTATTTCCAAAGTATTTAAAGACAAGTTCAACGTTAATATCGTAAACATTATTGTCACCATTATCATCTTTACCAAAAACAGAGCCACCCGCCCACTGCCCCGCTGTGTCGTCTCCCGGGTGCGGCGCTGCCATCACAGCAGGACAGCCAACAAGGCCAGGGTAGCGGCCTCAGTGACCATGTACCTGTGTCGTCCCTCTACCAGAGCAGGTGCGGGTTTTTGTTCTTGTTTTATTTGTTTGTTTGTTTGTTTGTTTTTCTTTTCTTTTTCTTTTTTTGGGGGGGGGCGGGTATTTTGGTGTTTTTTTAAAAACTGAAATTGATTATGTTTTGATTCCTTATAACGGGGTGCCCACTACGCTTGATCAGGCCGATCGCCCGACTCGGTCGCATGAAAATGAAAACAAACACGTTTGTTTTTTAGGCGACGGAGTTGGGCATTCGGCCCAATCAGCCGATCCCATCCGTAGTGATCACCCCGTTAGCCTTATAATCAAACAATTATTTTTTGCCAGTTCCTCGTTTACTACTCGAATGACGTCTTCGCTGTCTTTGTTTTTGTATCAGCTTCTTGTTCAGTAGTGTTTTAACATTTGATCATTATAGTTTCCTTAGATGATACTGGAACAGAACAACGCCTGAACAAGTTTTACGCTTTTTAAAAACATCACTAAACTGAGGACTGCGCAAGTAAACCCGGAAATAAGAGGGGGAGAGAAGGTAAAGAAAGAGGGGCAAATATAGACATTTATGAGAATGAGAGGAGGTGCAGGAGGAGAAGCAGGAGTAAGTGTTAATCAACTATTTTTTCACACTTTTTTCTGCCACAAGTAAGATAGTTGCCTTTCATTCTTTTCGTATTTATTATGTACCACAGTTCCATGACACTCGTAAAATCCAGAAGAAACGGGGTACCAGTACCAGAGCATCAATGCAATGAGCGGAAAGTGTTAATCAACATAATTATATATTTTCAATGTACATGTACCATAATTTTCTCACCTTCTCAACAGAATTAGTCCACTTATCGGAAATTCTGCAAGCTGGCTCGACCTGTTTGGACAATCCTGCAGTGGAGGGGCAAATAGATGCTGAAGTTGACGGTTGTATGGCCGAACTCGACCGAGCTAACGACGATTTAATGATTGAAATTGAACTCGGACTAAAGACATTGGAAGACATGTGCCCGTAAGTTAACGATACCGCGATAAAAAAAAGGAATCTTAGTTTCCTGCGTTAATTAAAGACAATGTTTGGACCAAAGAAAAACCGTTGACTATCGGGGACGTTTCAGGCTTCGATCTTTAAAGAGGAAAGACGGGGGAAAGGGGGGGGGGGGGCATTAGTATGAGTCATTAGTAAACATCAGATTTTTTTCGTCCCCTTGTGTTCAAAGACTGATATTTTGGAAGATGAATTTTACCTGATTCTAGCCTTTTACTAAACCGATGCCAAGAGTTCGACGAGTAGTAAACTTTATAACTCTTAAGAATGTTATTAATTTTTTTAAAAATATGTCCATGTTACTTTGCCATAAAGACCTCATTATTCGTCATCGTTTAAGAGTAGATGCCAGGGTACAGGAAAATGTGAGGGCGTTTGCATGTACGTAATGTTGACAAATAGACACGTGGGCAGATAGACACAGAGAAGAAGATATCGAGATAAAGAAAACAACAGTTAGATCTAAATAAGTTAAATAGAAGAGCAGGAAAAAAAAGAATTCGGAAAGAGAAAGAGAGAGAGAGAGAGAGAGAGAGAGAGAG